TTAGATAATGGAACGAGGTAAAACATAAAGAAATAACTTTAGCCACTGCTGACAGAAGTGCGGTAAATGACAATATGACACGTGAACCTGATCCTGATGCAGCCAGATGCCTGAGGAACCCCAAATACGGGCAGCTATTGAGTTCGTTGACCCCAAACTGTTGTTGATGGACAGAAGATCAGAGCTGAATTCATTCATTAATTTATGGCTAGACCAGGATGTTATGGTTGCTTGTTGCCTTCACTCGATCTTCATGTGGGTTAGTTGTATGATACAAAATTGGGTGTAGCTCTGGAGCAACTACTCCCTCCGTCCCTTAATAACTGTCAAAGTTGGTGTACGTGCCGTAAGTTTTACTCGATTTGTAGAAAATACAAGCAACATTTATATCTCCAGATAAATTTATTAAAAAAACTAGATTCAAAGATCTTTCCAATGATACTAATTATATACTATAAATATTAATATTTTTAATATATATTAAGTCAGAGTTCTCGGAAAGCGAAAACGATAGGTGGCTTTCTTAACTTCGGTGACAGAAATATTAGTTACCTGTTCATGACTGCTCTCTGGAAAGTTCTTAAATTAGTTGATGGTGTACTTGCAACTCATGCTGGCTTGGCTTGTTTCAAGGAAGAATAAGTTGGTGGCAGGAGAGAGACGAACGTAGATGGGAGCATGATTGATCGAGTTGTTTGCCATCACTAACTTTGGGCGCGTTTGGTGCAGCTCCGGGCGGCTCCAGCTCCTTCCTGTAGGCAGTGACGGAGCCAGGAATTATGTATAAGGGGGCCGATCGAAGAATTTCAAAATATGAGAATTGACTGCAACTTATTTGTTTAGATTTTTGTCTCGGGGTTACGCTCCTATATTTCTGGATTTATTCTAGTATTTGACGATTTTACCATGCTCGCTATTCTTCGCATAGTAGACGACCGTATATATCAACAGTGGGGCGCATGTGATGACTCATGAATATTGAAATCTAGCAACTTAGTATTTCAGAAATCCTCAAACCCATGGTAGGTGATCGTGTTTGTCGATAACGGGGCACATATGATTACTCAAGAATCTTGAAATCTACCAGCTTAGTATTTCGAAAGTGCTCATAGTGGAGTAGGACGTGTGTTTGATCATAGTAGTGTGTGTACGTGCATGTACGTGAACGTCTACATTTATACTGTGATTCACAATAAAAAGGAATGGTCATCGAATTGTTATTGCTAGTTAAATACGTGTTCAATAAAATATGGAATATAATGAAACATAAGTATTTTAATAAACCAAAAAATTAATAGATATATCCTATATGGAAGGCAAAACAAATTTAGATAAATCAAGTTATTTTATTCTAATTATATTCTATGTGATTTTATTGTCTAACCCAAGTTATTTTATTCTAATTATATTCTATGTGATTTTATTGTCTAAAAGATATCAATAAACATTATAACAAGATTTCTTTATTATACTCTTTTAATATAAAGATAGACTATTTACTATATATATTATATATAAAAAATTTGTATCGTTAGGGGGGCCATGGCGCACGCTGGCCCCCCTTGGCTCCGTATGTGTCTGACGAAGCCAGCCGGAGCACCGAAAACCCAGCTCCTTGGGCTCCTCTCTGGTGGCAGGCGGAGCCGGAGCCCATTTCACGCAGCGCACAGTGAAGTACAGGATCATACAGTGCGAGTGCATGTAGAGCCAGAGCTGCGGAAGCTGCGCCAAACGCGCACTTATTGTAAGAAATATTTTCGATGCCTTTTTATAAAAGAAATGCCATGTGCATTATAGAAGACATCTCAAATGCTAGTGTGAACTGATAATGGAAATTCAAGTAGCCTGAGATGATTCAATAATTTCTGCAGGAATGCACACAGATGTAAATGTGTGATAAATTCTCGAAACTAAGTCCGCCACGTCTAGTCAGCTGCTTGACCATAATCGATTGAACACATCGATTAAGAGCTCCAACAAACCAATCTCATGGACTTAGAGTCCGTTTGGGATTGCTCCACAATCTCTAGTCCACAAATACCTAAAAAGGGATTTCAGAAACTTCAGATTTTCTTTTCTAGAGCAGAGTTTGTGAGGCTGCACATGTTTAGCTAAAAAGCGTGGTGCATGGAGCTGTCCCAAACAGGCCTAAAACAGAAACATTATATGAGTTGGTTAATTAATTTACATGACCATGAATGTTTCAACAAAAGTGAATCACCTGTCCGTATGCATGCAGGAGCTATATCCCCAACTCATTCACATTGATGAGGTAGAACAAATCTAGTTGGTTTGTACAAGTGTATCATTCACACTGAACCAAACCACCGCATATATATAATTAAGTTGGTGTGAACCCAGTTGTTTATACCATAACATAACTTGCATGGTCAGTTGTCGAGATGTACTTTGGTTAGCTCGATAGTTTTCTTAGTATCCTTTTTTATCTTTGGTCACTGGTTGGTTGTCCCTCTCAGTTCAACGTCGTTGCCTTTAATTTCAACAGGAATGGTTTTAACTAAGGCTTCTCCTTGCTCCTCCTTTTGAGTCAGCCTACTACTATAAATATATGACAATGGTAACCTTCGAAGCCCAGAAAGTAACCTCAACTTATTTTGTAGATAAAAGGAAAAAGGTCATTTCAGCTACAAAAAGTAAAATAGAAAAAACCTTTATCCCAACTATGCATTTGCATTTACCACCTGAAGCAACATATATATATTTATGGAATACTTATAATTCCAGTCTGCAGTATTTCCCTTTTTCGCCTGCTATAAGCAGATGTACAATTGATCTTCTAACGTTACCTAGCAAAATGAATTTGTTTTTTGTTATTGGTCAGCCATATGGTGTTAGCTAATAACTATTGCTATTGGTTTTGCCATATGACAAATGCTAAATTATTGGACTTGCACAATACTGACTTGCCAGCCTCTGAACTGTCTTTTCATTCATAGTTTCACCAGACACGAAACTACTTGCGCAACAACACTTCATTCATCTAGTCCTTCCATTTGTCCAACTCCATACCAGTTTTTGCAATAAACAATACTACATTCTTAGAAAGCCAAGTCATGCTTACAGTGTCATGAGACTCTTAAACTTGGATTTGGTAACCATAAATGTTTTTTCTATTACCAGCAGTTGCAACGATGCTTTCATGTTTCAATGGTTATCATGATCTTATCTGGGAGAAAGCAACATAATTATCAAAGTAACTATTAAATGTTCTATTCTTCACATACAATACATTCTAATCAGTGTAAGTATTCGACATGACAAACGAATATACATCAAAACTTTGGTCTTTCTGTGAAAGGGCCTATAGCCTAGTAATTACAAGAGCCTTAGTAGCACCTTAGGTCCTGAGTTCGACTCCTTCTGGGAGCAAAATTTTCAGGATTTAACTCCATTGTGCTTTTAGTGGTAGACGATGTTCCCGTCGACAGCGAGACGCCTATGGTGACTTTGTCAATTTCAAGGATTTGCCAGCAGCCTGGTCTTCAAAGATGCTCATAGGGTAGGGGGTAGGGTTTGCGTGTGTTCATAGGTGTGAGTGTGCGTGCGTTGTGAATATCTGCATTGTACTATGTAATTCGCAAAAGAAAAAACTTTGGTCTTTTCTATAAAGACTCCCCATATATTGTTTGGTGTGTATTGATAGCAAGGCCTGAACAAATGATAAACCAATTATAATTCTAATGCCAAATGCTTACATGTGGTTCCACCAATAATAAAATCACAAAGTTACAGCATCAGCATCATTAACTCCCTTTTACACGATAGTGTAACCAATGCAAAAAAAAAAGAAATAAAAATAAATGCATTTACTACCAACAACAATAATCATGTTAAACTTAGTGGAAGTTTGTTGCACATGCCACTTATTTTGTTATTAGTGTGTCGACTCTTCTTTCTTGCGCCACTTCTCTAATGCAAACTTGTCACATTTAGGTTATTTTGTTTCCCTCTTTTTTGTTCCTCATATGCATCTCTTTCCTTTCCTTTTCTTTCATATATAAATCAAATCTGTTGAAACTTGTATTTTATAAGGCTTCAGGGTGCAACCACCTTGCTCAAAGAACCTAGTGCTTCCATGCTCACCTAGTTACTTGGATTACTACTATTTATATATGCATGATTGTATAACGGAAGAAGGGAGCTGCAATACAGCCTGTATCAAAATTAACGTTTTCTAGGTGTAACTTGCAGCGTTCGTAAAGTTATTAATTTGGAACAAATTAACAGCAGAGTGAAACAAACTCACTAGGGATATTGCTAGCTGCTTATAGATTATAAATAAACACAAAAGTAATCCCTTGATATGTATGCGTGTACATTATTAGCTAGCATGCTAGTCCGATGAAATTAATTAAAGACACTGCTATTTTACTGGCGCTCAAAATTATTGATAAATACGTAGCTAGCTCCCATGGGAAAAGACGATGTTATCGATCTGTCCTGAGGAAATTGTGCAGAAATGAACAAGAACATAAAGACGATGACGCTGATGACCCATGAGGCGTAGATGCAGATCGGCCATCAGTTTGCCTGCCCTACTAATCCAATCTACGAGATCGCGAAAATGTCTCGATCGGTGAGATGACGAAAGAATATTGTTAAGGAAGTTAAGCATGCAAGACGCTAGCTACTAGTCTCCAGTCTGACGATCGAGAGCTGTGACTGACACAGGATATATAGCTTGTTATTGGCCAATTGCTGCTGAACACGCAGAGATGCATAGATGAGATGTGATAGCATTTCTGTACATATATATATATAGCTGGGTATGTATATCCGCAAATAAAGTTCATAGGTGGTGGATCGAAAGAGAGGCCTGTTAAGCCGCTCTCTTGTCGTGCAAAACTAAACAAGAGTGTGACCTCCATCCAAACCTTAAACGAACGAACATCCTATTTACCAGACTCATCTCCAAGCTCTCTCGTCATTCATTACTTAGTTCTTTTGGCTACTAGCTTTGTGTTTGATCAGTCCAGCTAATGGAGAAGTCGAGGGCCAGGCTATCGAGTAGCCACTGGCGGCCGGGTGAGGACGACAAGCTGCGGCAGCTCGTGGACAAGTACGGCCCGCAGAATTGGAGCTCCATTGCTGAGAATCTGGAGGGGAGATCAGGTACTACGTAGCTAGGCTTCTGAATTAACTTCAAACTCTTTCTCCTGATTGTTTCTCCTTCGTTTTCTGACGAAGCATATATACATCATGCATGCATGTACATGAAGCAAAACTCTGCTCACCGTACCATGCATGATTTGCACAACATATTTGCTTCTTTAATTAATCTTGTACTATATTTGTTTTGTTCCTTCTCGTTCGTCTAGTCGAATTTCTCAATTCTAGTTCTAGCATAGATGGAGTGACAAGAAAAGTGAGATCGATGTTCACCATCTCGATCATCATTTGTATTTGTACACATATATATGTGGAGAATATTCAGTTGATTTATAAATGAGTAATACGATATAGTACTAGATATATATTCGAATGTCACCTTGGTTCATTTCAAGTTCATGAGGCATCCATGCATCTTTGCCTGCGCTACTTTACAAACTTTGTTTCTTCTCTTCTCATCATGCCATGCACCACATGTTGGAGCTGCAGAAAAATATGTATGTATATATATGTAATGATTATTAGTATATATCATACTTCATACTCATCGTTTGGTTGATTATGCATCCATCATCCATGACCCGTCCATGTATATACTGTACAAACTGGAGTAACATCACAAGGACGATATGTCTGCATCACTATAGTAGGTTTTCTTGCATGCGCATCCACATTTTTTTTCCATTTCAGAGATGAACGTTCAGAAACAATCTGTAACGTTGCTGAGACAGTGAGACTGATTCGTTTATGCATGGCAATGTCACGGATGGACGTAGGCAAGAGCTGCCGGCTCCGATGGTTCAACCAGTTGGACCCGCGGATCAACCGGCGGCCCTTCACGGCGGCGGAGGAGGAGCTGCTCCTGCAGGCGCACCGCGCCCACGGCAGCCGCTGGGCGCTCATCTCCCGCCTCTTCCCGGGCCGCACCGACAACGCCGTCAAGAACCACTGGCACGTCGTCATGGCGCGCCGCCGCCGCCACTACCACTCCGGCTCCGGCTCCGGCGGTACCCTCACCGGCGATCCCACCACCGGCTCTGTTGTACCGCCTCGTCAGCCGTCGTTTCAGTACTTCCGTTTCGGAAGCTGCCCGCCAGCGACGATAGCGAAGACCACCCACTCGCTGTGCTTCGCGGTGCCTGCAGGTCCCGGGCCGCTCGGTCTCAGCAGACCAGGAACGTACGGTGTCAGCAACAGCAACGTGGCCGCCGCCGCTGCCGTCGTATTGGACGGCCATCGTCATGACATGAGCAAATACCTTCTTGGCCGTGGCGATGACAATGGCGGTGATGCGGTTGCAAAGAGGAAGGACGTGCAATTCTTCGACTTCCTGGGCGTCGGGATCTGAAGCAAAATAATGATATGGTAAAGTAGTATAGTACATTTGAACGATATACTGCAATATATTAGTGAGGTTGTTACCTAGAAAATTGGGTGTTGGTGGAATCAGAAACAAGAATGGGCATGCCTGATGATGAGAGTACTGGGTCACTCTCGAGTCTCGATACCATACGCTCGTGAGATATGCTAGGGGTCCCACGTGTCAGTAGCATAAATGACATGACGAAAACGATGATGTGAAGATAAGCAATTACTCCGAAATACTTCATTAGTTTCAGAATATAGGTATAATATATATTTTAGTTTTGTTCTAAGTCATTTTTTTTAAATTTTGACCAATAAGACAAGGCAAGGAAAAACAACAGTGGAAAAATCGGTTGCTGGGGTGCAATAGATAACCAACACCGGAGTGATGTTTAGATTTTCTGTTTTATAAGGCCCTGTTCGATAGCGCTCCTAGAGCAGGTCCATGCCACCATCCAAACGGGCTTGAGGGCCAGCGCTATGCTTTGCTTCGGCCCGGATTCACACTCACTAGAGCCGGAAAGCAACCGCAGAAAACAAAAAAGTGGCTTCATTGACTCCTCTGTCCGTGCATGCGGGCCCTCCCCAAAATGCAGGGCGGACGACAGCTAGAGCACGAGGTAGAGGCAATGGGGTTCGAGGCACCTGAGGCATGGTGGAGGCGAGGAAGAGGTGGCACAGTCGAGGTGGAGACGATGGAGGTGGCGCATGTGGGGAGGTGGAGGTTATTAGGAAGGCAGCGTGGTTGAGGCGAGAGAGAGGAAGGAAAAATAAAGAAACTAAAAAAGAGGAATGACACTATGGACATTATACTATTTTTTTATCTATCATCAGAAATTATTTTACCAATTTCTTTTTGAGAAGTGATCTAGAACCAAAGAAAACTGCTTCACCAAAGGGTCTAGAGAGCAGTTGAGCTCTACCAAACACACCCTAAATTTGTTTAAATTAGAATAGTTTAACTTGAGAAATAAATGAAACTAGGGGGTAGGCATATGTTTCTGCCTGCTACTATCGCATCATAATTTGAGGCCAATAATGATATCCGGTTGCAGTAGTGTTGGAGCTTGATGGTGAAACAAGAGGGGGCATCAGCACTAATTTCTTACTTAATATGCATACTTCAATCAGCAAGGAGGGGCCATGGCCCTCTTTGGCATGCATGTAGCTCCGCCAGTGTCCGGTTGGGATTTTAATCCAGAATTGCACATATTCCCATGTTTGCACTATGCTTAGATGGAATGTGTAACATGTTTTGGCTCATCATAATATCGGAACGGATTAGAATGGATGTCCCATATGTAACTAAGAACTTGAGGCGATTTACATTAAAATAAAAAGCAACTTAAGTAATGTAAGTAGAACGCCACTTGCTCTGTTCCAAATTATAAGACGTTTTGGCTTTTTTAGGTTCATAGTTTTTGTTACGCACCTAGATATAAATTATGTCTAGATATATAGTAAAAACTATATATCTAAAAATACTAAAATATCTTATAATTTGGAATAGATGGAGTATATATCAAGTGGTGGCTCTAGATACTCTATCTGTTCCAAATTATATACTCCAAGGATAGGAAACATATATAGCAAGATGCCAAGATATGACACTAAATAAAAGTGGAATGGGGTGGAGTCTCTGAAACTCACAGGCCTCCATGGATGCCACCTAAGCAAGCAATACCTTCCTCAAGATCTGCATACCCAAGGGTCACCCGCCACATGTCACACGGGACCATCGCCATTTGGATAACGTGTGCCACGTGCGCGAAGCCCAGCCAATGGGATGGAAGCAGCCTCACCCTATCCACACGCCCAGCACCACAACCACAACCCTCGGCAGCCTCAGTTCCCCTCCACCGCACCTGCAGCCACCCACGATCAAAAACAAAACCATCCTCACTCTCCCTGCTGCCAGCCAACCGAGCTCCAAGCACGCACAGCCAGTCAGCCACACCACACCAAGTCATGGCCGGCGTGAACTCCAGCGTCGTCGGGCTCAAGCCCGCCGCGGCAGTGCCCCAGGCCGCCGCCGCCGCCTCGTCGCCGGCGAAGCGGGTGCAGCTGGTCGCGCCCGAGGGCCGCCGCGCCGCGCTGCTCGGCCTGGCGGCCGTCTTCGCCGTCACCGCCACCACCGGATCGGCCAAGGCTGGGATCATCGATGAGTACCTTGAGAAAAGCAAGGCCAACAAGGTCATTTTTTTGTGTGTGTGTATTTACCAGAGCTGTTGCTTGTTTCGATGAAAGTGAACCTTAAGCCTGACAAGATTTTTCGCTGCGATCAGGAGCTGAACGACAAGAAGAGGCTGGCCACCAGCGGCGCCAACTTTGCGCGCGCCTACACCGTCGAGTTCGGCAGCTGCACGTTCCCCTACAACTTCACTGGGTGCCAGGACCTCGCCAAGCAGAAGGTTCATTCTCATCACACTCATAAGAAACCTTTTTTTCGAGAACACGTCCGTTGATGTGTGTTGCATTAAGAGGAGACACTCATAAGAAACCTCGCTCACCTGATAATAATCTGGATTGATTTCTTCTCATCCTGTGCCATATCATGTGTGTCCGTGCTTGATTGTGTTCTTGCAGAAAGTGCCCTTCATCACCGACGACCTCGAGATTGAGTGCGAGGGGAAGGAGAAGTTCAAGTGCGGCTCCAACGTTTTCTGGAAGTGGGGTGAAGCTAATTGAGGAGGGAGACCTGGTGTACATGTACGTGTGTACCTAGATGTGCGCCCAAACTGCAGGGAAAATTTGGATGTGTAATTGTGGTCATTGTATTTGTGTCATCTGATCATCATGAACCTCTTGCATTAATTGGGGAGAGTGGATTATATTATTTTGTCCTTGATCGCCTTCTCATTTCATCGGCGCTTATGAGTTTTCCCTACAAAATGAGCTAGGTTATTTTCGGACACTATAGAAGAAAGATATAATTTTTCTAATACGATAAGCCCTGGAACGCGATTAACATGCTACTCAAACTTTATATTAGTTTTTTTAGCATCTTAACGATCTCAAATGACAAAAAAAAAAAAAAACTAGAAATTTGTGGTTCTCATCAAAAAGTTATAATTTTGATACACAAAGTATCTTTATCTGACACCGTATAAGACAAATATAATTTTTCTAATGTGGTAAGCCCTAAAACTTGATTAATATGCTGCTCAAACTTAATATAGCTTTTTTGAGCAACTTAACAATCTCAAATGAAAAAACTCGAAATTAAAAAATTGTAGATCTCATTGAGAGCTGCAATTTGCATATAAAAATGATTTTCATCCAAGGTCGTATAGAAAATGTATGATTTTTTTTACGGTGGAGCTTTACCACTGACATGTGGGTCCCATGCATCTGTCAGACCATGCCACCTTGGATAACGGGTCGGGTAAACATCTGTTAGGACGTGGATGAGACCCGTTGCAACTTCAGGGAGCCAAAAAAAATGTATTTTGAAACTTTGGGGACCTGGATAACACCTCTATACAACTTTAAGGACCACCGGTGAATATTGTTCTTATTTTGAGGTTGCAAACCAGCAGTTTTATGCCAGCAGATCAGTGTCGATGGATGGATCGGATGTGCATTAATCATTGCCAATTGCATATTTGCATTGGAAGTACGTGTAGTGTAGTATTTACTCAAAAAAAAAGGAGTACGTATAGTACAACACTATATAACTTAACGGAAGTCCTCTCCTATTTCGAGCACGACAACACCATAGCCATATTATTCAGCACTTGTCTTACGTATTCAGCCCTTGCCAGAAATATGATGTCGTCGTCGTCTATGTATCATCCAATCTATCATTTCTGATCAGACTTGCTTATATTACTAGTCGCTTGTCTGCTAACCTCCGTCTTCATCTTCATATATGGTGCTGTGCAATTGCATTGCAGCTACTTGTTTCAGTATGAAAGGCAGGAACAAAAAAGGAGAGATAGCGACAGCGTCTTTATTATTTTGCTTCTGTCGTCTGTGCTCATCAGCTGCCGATCGGCCGGTGAACAGATTTCAGAAACCACTACGGCCTGTTCATTTCTCTTCATCAACATATAATTGGACTCCTGTCCTTGATAGTGTGAATGGTTAAAGGACAATACCATGCATTACTTGAAACACTGTCGCCCCTCTCTGTCCATTAGCTAGCTCAGATCCATGGATTATTATCGGGTCTAAAGCCAGTATCATTGCCGGAATCGAACCTTCCTACTAGCCACGTCCCATTGTATTTTACACAGTTGTATCTAATAAATCCAGGATACGTGGTACAGTGGTGAGAGCTGTCTCACTGAGTCACCAGGTCACGGGTTCGAAGCAGCCTCTCAGCAGATTTTGCGGGGGAAGGCTTACCTCGGTTTTTCTCTTACCCAGACCTCACTCATGTGGGAGCCTCCAGCACTGGGTCTGCTCTTTTTTATACGTGGTACCTTTAAGGCCCTTTTATGCTCGTGTTAAGAAGGTATTGTTTTGCTTAATATAATTCTATAACAAGTGGCATAAAACCTCATGAAACAAGTTAACTTATGTGGTTAATGTTAGCAACAAGTGGCATAAAACCTGATGAAACAAAAACAGAGAATGCTTTAATGTAATATAAAGTGTTACGCTTAACTCAGGTCAGCTGCTATGTATTTTTATTTCGCTATAAGGCAGTTTCGTCTCCTCTGTGTGTGTAGCTTGCCACTAACAAATAAGTATCCTTATTTTTTTTCTTAATTGAATAACAGTGTTTTTGTTTTTTCTTAGAAAACAGGCAACTTTTGGTGTACTTAATATTACGGAAATACTTCGACACGGGCGTTCGCCCGCCCGCATCCATTCGGACGCGACTTCCCACTTTGCCTCTCCCGCATCTCTCAAGAAAAAAATCTCCCCGCTCCGTCTCGCCCTCCTCATCTCTCGGTCTCTCTCTCGCGCCTGCTCGCAGCAGCATAGCACAAGCCGACCACGACGCCTTCTCCCTCAGTTCGGCAGTGTCTCCCCCCTACCCGGCCTCTCCCCCAACCCAGCGCTGCGGGGATGGCTCGCCGCCGCCGCTGCCCCTGCCAATGGCAGCTGGGCGCACGTGCCGGGGCGCCTTAGGCCATCCTCGGCCGAGCCAATGGGCACGCACGAGTGCGGCCGGTGCTGGTGGTGCTCGCGCGCCGCTGCTTGCCGCCAGCTCCCACCCTAACAGCCGGAATCGACCGGCTCCGGCCTCTCCACCCCCCATGTTGTAAACGTATGTTTAAATTGTTTCATATATTTTGGAGGTATGTTGCAACTGTTTTATATGAATGTTGCAAAAGTAAATTGGGATGTTGCATATGTTACAATAGCTATACACGTATGTCACAAGTGTCTATTTCAAATGTTTCATCTGTTTTTCATACGTATGTTGCAAATGTTTTTATTTGAATGTTGCTATATTTCACACATATGTTGCAAGAGTTTTTGTCGGGATGTTTGCATATGTTTTGCAATGTCTTTTCAGGTGTTTTCAGGTGTTTTTATTTGCAAATGTTTCATTGGATATTTCAAAAGTAGATCAGGTGTTGTATATGTTGCAATGTGACTCATCTTTCACGGTCGCCTGTTGAAGCTGCTGGGGTGCCATGCATGCACGCGGGAAGCGGAGCGATGGAGCGCTACGCGGCTGCGGACGCAGGAAGCGCAGGGGGAAGTACAGGGAGCGATGCGGACGATCCCCACCTAGCCCGGGCATGCAGCAGCGGCGGGCGTGTCTGTCCAGACGCCCATCGGTTAATTTTAATCTGTTCCGTTGACATTCAGACGAGATCAAGTAAAGCACACATAAAGTAAATATCTATCCGCGATATATTACTTATAACACGTAAAAGTTTATATCCATCCATAACCATATTTTTGTACTCCTATATACTCCTACTCATACACATATCCACCGGTCGAATATAATACCCACTAATGTCTGTATCCGCTGATAGAATCGTCTAACCCAACGATGAAACCGGTTTCAGAGTTTAAAAAAAAAACTGCTTTCAAGGTCTCATCAGTCATTCAGGCTGGCATCGGATTAAACCGAATGATCGGTTTGGTTTTTTGGTTTTCAAAAAGTTTGGATTTTTACAATGAAGCAATGATCGGTTTTCCCTAAACTGGAAACCGAGATGTTTGATTTTGGTTTATTACTTCGTTTTTTTTGGTTAAAACCAAACCGACCGAAATGTACAGCACCAAGGGAAGAAAAAAAAAAGAAAACAACACCATCGGCCGTCCTCCCCTGCCCCTACTCGCAGCACCCGCCCCCGGCGCCACGCCCCTGGCACCTGACTTGAGGCACCTCGCGTGCCCGCTCCCTGGCGCTGCGCGCCGCCACCTCCATGAGCTGCCGCCGCTCGCCACTGCGGCGCAACCTTCCCGTGCCTGCAGCCACTCGCAGTCAGTGGCGAATCTAGAATTTTACCTCAGGGTATACCGCCTTAAAAAAATTTCTATACAATTCGACAAATCATTTAGAAATTTGGTAACGGTAGTAAAATTGGCAACGTACTTCGATAATAATAGTAAAATTTGCAACATAATTTGGTAATAGTAATTCAGTGGTAAAATTTGCAACGTAGAGATGACTCAATGTTGTTAGCAATGAAAGTAGACAAGATTTTTCTACATGAAAAAGAAGAGAAAAGAGCAAAGACTGAATCACGTCCTGGTGTCTCAGACAGTCGGCTTTGCTTGTTACTTGTTAGCCATGCACGCGCGCGCAGCTAGCAGGCAACAACCGAGCTCCCTAGCTCCAAACTTGCGGCAGATGAATGGATCAGTGCAGATGGTGCGTAAGTGCGTTGGATGCTAGAATCCAAGGCATCACCATGTCAGGACATATGGAGTCCAAGATCTCCCATCCGTGTGACTGTGGGCGCATGGGCCTGGACCCTGGAGAAAAACAGCAAAGCTACAGAGGCCATCTCGGCAAAGCTAGGCTGCTAGCATTGCGTTCGTTTTCAGTTCTCTAGGCTACATGTAAGTGTTCTTTTGTTATTGGTTTTTTCAAATATAGTATATATACTCTAATACATGCTGAATCTGCAGGGTATGCCAGTGCATACCTGGCATACCCTGTAGCTCCGCCCCTGCTCGCAGTTTGCGCCGCCGCTTGCTCGCGCGTAGAGAATGATTTAATGTAATATAAAGTGTTACGCTAACTCAGGTCAATTCTTATGTATTTTTATTGAGAATTGCTAGTGCCCGAACGTCCGATGGGATAATATTCAGTTGGATGGTACCTAACGGCTCAGTAGCAGACACGCGTAGCACTTCCACCGTATCGCTGTAGTCCTTCCCCATCTGTCTCATCCCGCCCCGCACGCGGACCCTGCCCCCCATCCGCCTCGGCCCGCCCCGTGTCCGCCGCTCCTTCCCCCTGACCCCTCCCCCCTCCCTCTCTCTCTCCATGCGGCAGGACCTGGAAGCCGGGACGAGGACGAGCACGCCCCGTCCGCAGGACCCCAGGCGCGCCGCGCGCCCCATCCACCGCCCCCCGGGTTGCCACGCCCCTTCTCACGTCGCCCAGGCTGTGCCCCAATGACTCTCTGTAGGGTTGAGATGGCGGACTAGAGGGGGGGCACTACCGGATTCAGCTTCTTTGCCGAGTGCCTCAGGCACTCGGCAATGGCCGATATACAATCGGCAAAGCCTTTGTCGAGTGTTATAATCGGCAAAGGGCACTC